CAATAACAGCAAGTGTGTGTAATTGTTGTGTCAGTGAGAAATACACATCAGCCTACTTGTGAGTAGACACAAAACATGTTAAAATAACAATGTATTTTCAATCACACAACATGTTGATCAAGCGAAAATGTTCTCTTTTTTAGTGAGATATATGTAGATTTTTATCTGATTTGAAATGCATTACAATACCCAGAACAAATCCTTGGCTGAGCAGCTCTGTATCCAGATATATCCTGATAAAAAAAAAACAGAGGCCTGAAACTATCAAAGAACTTTTCCGATCCATTGCAATGCAATACCGTGTGTCACATTTTAAAAGAATCTTTGAAATTCATTCTTTCATTTATCTTTAGTAACCGCTTTATCCTGGTCAGGGTCTCAGTGGATCCGGAGCATATCCCAGAAGGCAGGTACGAGGCAGGAATACAGTTTGTATGGTACGCCGATTTATCACAGGGCACCACGCACGCACACACCCACACACACACACACACACACACATACACACACCCATTCACAGCTAGAGGCAATTAAGACTCACAACTACACCTACCAGCATGTTTTTTGGAGGTGAGAGGACACTGGAAAACCTGGAAGAAACGCAGGCAAACACGCGGAGAACATGCACTACTCGGAAAAAGGCAATAACCTGAGCTCAGGTTCGAACCTGGAAGCCTAGAGCTGTAAGGTGGCAATACTACTCACTACATCAGTGCCACCCACCTTCGAATTAGTTGATTATTATGGCTGTAGGAACACTTTTAAAATGACAACTTGCTCTTTTAACGTTTGTCGTTGTTTCGCTTAAGTCTGTGCTTGTCCTCAATTTGTTTTTTTAAGCCTTAAATAAATGAAGTGCAACGGACAGTACAACGAAGGACAACTGCTACACAAATGTAAGCAAAATATACAAGAGGTTCCTAGAAAGATCCTGAATTCAACTCAGTTCATTCATCAGCAGTACTGGTTCATCTCTGCAGCTGTGAACAGATGAGGGTTAACAGGACTCTCCCTGTCCCCATGCAAACCTTCTGCATTCCTGGCAGAAGAGGGAGCCATACCGAGTGGGAAGTAAATATTGCATTAGGAGTCACCCATGTGGGCTCCTCTCCAGCACAATATTACTGCCATATGCAGGGAACATAATATTTTGTGTTCACTTCATTCACACAGTGGGCAGTGTGGACCTTAAAAATAGATAAAGGCAAAACCCAGTATGAAGCATAAATAATATCCTTTATGCACGCTAATCACATGTAGGCAACATGGCCCCTAAATCATCATTGTCTCAGAGGACACAATCACCTTCACTAGGAAATACAGGACGCATCCTGAATCAGGCAGCAGGTTAATATCAAGCATTTTTCTCTCTTCTGCTCTAACCATCCACTTTCACTTCTTCCATCAAAACAGCTATTTGTTTAACAGGGTTTCCTGTTAAACTACTCTGAAGATATATACAGTCAATTGCAGAATTATTGGCACCCTTGGTAAAGATGGGTTAAAAATGGTCAAGAAAATGTCTTTGAGGTCAATTAGCTTCATCACATACGGAAATATGAGAAAAAAATCTAACCTTGAATCTAACCTCAGTACAGAATCTCATCACCTATTCTTGTGGACTCTTCTTTTCGGGTCACCCCATGTTTGGGTTTGGGTCAGGGGACTGGAGTGGCCTTGCCAAAAGTTTGAAATTGTGGTCACCTTTTGTGTGGATTTGGATGTATGTTTTTCATTTAAAACCACTTAAAAATTATTTTAAAATAATTTGAATCATTTAAAAATTACTTCACGGAGTCAGTGATGCCATGTATCCTAACAATGTTCCCAGGGCCTTTGGATTAAACACTGCCCCACAACATCAGAGATCCCCCACCATACTTAATTGTATGGATTGGATAATTGGATTGGTTTCTTTTCTGTATAAAAAAAAAAAACTTTATATGCACATTACAGTTTCTACTGCAATGGACTTGACCGTGCTGTTTGAACTGGTGCAGCAAACAGTGTTTTAATATTTCTTTAGATGTATCATTATCATTAAAATGATTTGTAAAGTGTTAGATTCAACACTTTGTTGTAGGCCTAGTTAGTTTTTCTAATGAAAATATGCAGCCTTTTTTCTCTTTCCTCTCAAAAAGTGCAGTTTTTGACTGGCTAAAAACTTTTGGCAGCATCTCTAATAAAGATAAGTCCTGATGTTAAATATATACTTGTCTAATAGTCAAACATACACTGATAGATTTGATTTCACATTACCAAAATCAAAACATGTTCAACTTGCCGTGACAGAAATAGAAGTCACCGCTTCATTGTTCAAGAGGTAAAATCAAGCTAAGACAAGAACACAGATCAAAAGATTACAAATGTGAGATACGGAAAGGGGCGGGGTTTCCAGGGGTATCAGTTATTATTGGAGAGTTCAAAACACATGGGTAACTGTCAATCATTCCAGATTCATATGTCAAGTGGCTCATCTGCCATTTTCATTGGGGGAAAAAAGACGACTGCTCTTTTGGTGTATTTTTGAGTCATAACTCATAGCAGCGTTCCAAATAGTTTGCTTGCATGGAGGTGGCGTCTCATTGTAGAATTGTTGACCCTAAAATGGTACCATCTTCTGCAGATCACTCTAGTGTGATCCTTGGAAACATTTTTGCCTCTCTAACCATCCTCCTCACGCTGTGTATAGTAGCAAAAATACTTGTGTCCTCTTCCAGGTAAATTTGTTACAGCTCTGGTTATTTTAAACTTCTTAAATGCATTAGGAATGCATGCAGAAATTGCCTGATTTAATGTAGGCCAACACACTTTTGTCTCATTTCATTTGTGTATTCTCTAATGTCCCCCAAGCTGATGAATGGAAGGGAACTGGGCCTCTGTGTCACCTCATATTTATTCCCCAGTGAAACAGGAAGTCATGGTTGATCGTTTAAAGTGAAGAAAGTAAAATATAAACAGGAGCATGCTTCAGTTACATTTTGTTCATAAGAATAGGGGTACTAGTACTTGTGACACATCTGATTTTGTTAAAAAAAAAATTCTTAGAATACATTTACTTTTTTATATTTCCAGACAAAACCACGAACCTCAACCAGCATTACAGTCAGCTCCAGAATTATTGGTACTCTTGGTAAAGATGAGTAAAAAAGAAAGGTTGCCAACAATTCTGATGCTTCTGAGTTCTTTCTTTTGTTTTTTGTTTTTTTTTTTGGAGGGAATGGAACATTGCTTGTGCTGCACTAAGCACAGAGTGCTTCATGCCTTTTCAAATGCCTTTTCACAGCTCTCTTGAGCATCAACAGCTTAATAAAAGCATGCTGCTGGAGGATCTTAGACAGTTGTCTAAAGTTAGCAAGATGGAAAGATGGTGACTTCAGAATGCTTTTTATACATTACTAATGCTCACTTACGACCTCAGTAGTAACAGGAACTCACTGGAGCACATTTAATAAAGACAGAACTGCAATAAATGTTTTAAGTAACTGATAATTGCTTCCAACTGAGCAAGAAGTTAAAAGTGTAACTATGATGAATCAATTAGGCAACGTTTTAAACACGTCACCATGTAGGACTAGGTTGCTTTTCCTTTACTAATCATCATCATTGGTATGATTAACGACACGGCTGGTGCAGCTGGATAAAAGCGCGTTAATGAATTATTCACTTGAGTGGCAAGTTCCTCCACAACAAAACAAACACAGCATCGGAAACTGAATTTGCACCAAGTGATACACAATCTGCTGGAGAAATGCAGCCTGTGGATTCACAGAGGAAAATATCCAGTGAGCTCTACAAGACTTTTATGTCTCAGTGTCGGTGTTAAGGTGTCTTAACGAGACCGTGTTTGCCTTCCACTGAAACCGAAAATGCTTGATCTGAGACATAATAAGCAATATTTTTCTGTTATGAGTGTGCTACATATTTCTGACTCATTGCTGGTCACATGGCTGGTCACAAGGGAATAAGAGTGAGAGTGATAACACATTTCTTAGAGATTTAGTGCTAAACTACATCTCTAAACAGTGGCCATGAATTTCAACTCCATTGTAAACAATTATTTTTCACCATTTAGCCTTAAAATGAACAGCAAAGTTATATCTAGGGGTGAGATGTCATACTGTGATAAGGAAACATGAAATACTTTTACTAGCAGAATCAAGTTACATGTTATTAGCACTTTGTTTTTAAGACATTTAAAGCACATTTAAGAAGTAAAATACATGACTAACCACGTCATTTAATACTACTCTACTACGTAGGTGACTATAGTTGTATCATACTACGGAGGATTCACGTACTTCCACCCTCGTTACATCCCCTGCTCGCTCGGGCTGGGCACGCAGACAGGCTGGGTTTCTTCAAGAAAATCAGGGGGCAAAGGCGTGCACGTCCACACGCCCATGATTATCACAGATAGGCACAACCAAGTGTTAGTGATGCAACTGATGTCAATTTCACCACTCGTGATCATGGAATGTTCCAATAAGGATGGATAAATCAGTAGCGTGAGTACCTGGGACAAGAAGTAGTTTTTTTTTTTCCACGGTTGCCTGGTGAAGAAGTAGCTTCAGCAACCAGAAAAATACCCCTTGTTGACTTTTTTATTTGGTAGGTAATAAAGGTGTAATGATATAATATAATACAATACGATACAATGGTGTCTTGATGTGCTACATTTTATATACATCAAGAATAAGCATTGCCTGTCATTTAGGTTGATTAAAACACACAACGTTATAAAAGTGCAATAACGGAAACATAATAGTGACAGTGTTTGCGTAATTGAGTCAGACTCTTAGTAGCATATAACGAAACAAAAGCTGTGCATTAATTGTTGTTCTTTCGGCTGCTCCTGTTAGGGGTCGCCACAGCGGATCAGTGGTCCGCATGTTTGATTTGACACAAGGTGTAAGCTGGATGCCCTTCCTGACACAACCCTCCCATTTTATCCGGGCTTGGGACTGGCACTGAGAGCACACTTCCAGTGGCTGGGTTGGTTCCCTGCCCAGGAATCGAACCCGGGCTGCGGCAGTGAGAGCGCAGGATCAGTAACCACTAGACCACCAGGGACAAAAGCCATGTATTAGTATTTAACAAAATTAAACATGGCCAATTAAAATGTAACTCTTTATCTAGGCTTTCAGCAAAATATTAACCCCAACTACATCTCAAATACTGCAAAAAAAACCCTGAAACTAGCACAAAAACTTCAGGCATTCTTTAACCTGGATAAAAGCAAAGGCTGCCTGAATGAAGCAGAGAGACTCTCGCTCTGCTTCTGTGTTTGTGTGTGTGTGTGTGTGTGTGTGTGTGTGTGTGTGTGTGTGTGTGTGTGTTATGAGCGCCGTCCAGTATGCTATGAAATTAGTTTGTGAAAAACAGCATGTTTAGAAGAAGCATGTTTTTTTAAGTAGCTGATCTTACTTTAAGCTACTTTTTCAGAGGAGGGCATATGGGCTTGATTAGTTTTGAATGTTTATTTCTCCTGTAATATAAGCATATATCTTATGTTAAATATATTGGTTAATACACAGACATATCAAATTGTCATATCATTACATTCCTAGTACGTAGTGCTGTTTAAATGTAACACACTTCACAGTGGTGTGAAGTACCTCAATGCTGTAACTATACTGTTTCCAAATCCCACCGCCTGCTGCACTACACTCATCAGCCGAGGTGTGATCCACTTGCTGGCTGAATGATTTTTACTCGGTGGATTAATTAGTGTGAATAATTGACTGTTGAATCTTTTTACAATGTGATACATGCAGGTATGTGGAAACACAAACAAGCAAAGCCAAGCAAAATAAAGTCCAGCACAAACCTGGCAAATAACATCTTCAACGACTTGCTAACTTTTTGCTGGCACAAATCACAATGTGATACTTAAGAAACTTTGTGAAAAGGGGTTAATTATCATAAACTTGTTAGTTTCCCTTAGGGTATATCAATGTGCTAAACTAGCTAACTAGCCTGCCAAATGTACATGTTGATAGCTACCACTTTTAACCGAGTCTTTTAGGTTTCAGGGCGACTAAAACAAGGGACTGGGCAGCACACTACACCTTTTACTTGCCTGGTGAGCTAGTTAATGAATTTATCATTTTTGTCCACCCCGTCTATGCTTACTACTAGGTAGTAAGTAGTAAGTACTAAGTAGTAAGCAATATTACATTATGGTCATCTTTAACCCACAATGAACTTATGTCTGGTATCCAACGTTAGTCTCCTTAGTTTTGCATTGGAGCTACAATAATAATATAGTGTGTATGTATTATAATAATGTACGGCGCTTGGAAGCTGACAAAAATATCTAAATATGATTTTGTTTCCTTGTGCCTTTACATTTTGTACATGTATTTTCTTTGTTTTGAATTTGCTAGGGGTAAAATCTAACTTCAAAACCATATACATAAAAATTATGGGTTACAGATTTGAGATTTAAAAAAAAAATCAAAACCCTAAATACAAAAATTCTGAAAAATTCAAATCTCAAAAAAGATTTTATGTAAATTAGGCCAAAGGTGAAGAATCCAGGAGTCCAAGGGAAAAGTAGATTCTTTCAGCGGGCCCGAATTCAGCATTTAGCCAATTACAGCCGTCTGTCACGATCCATAAAGTGAAATGTAGAGTTGTGGAGTAGAGTTAACCAGAGACCAAATGGAAGATATGAACCATAATGAGTTATGTGCTTCCATGTTCTACTAAGATTTTATGTTCTACTGAAGTAGCTAAATCCATATTAAGCAGCTAACTTCGGCTGCTAACTTTGGCTAGCTAGTTACAGTGTTACCTAAATAGCTTTGCTTAGCATACCTAGCATCGAGTGTTTAACATCTACACTGAACTTGCAATTTGACTAGAACATAAAAAGTTTTTAATTTGTGAAAGTGCTTATTTTTCCCTGGGAATCCCGGATGCTTCACCTTTGGCCTATTTTATTATAAGTTCTGTATTTTTTCGAGTTGGATGTTTAAGGATTTGGATTTTTGATATCTGAATTTAGGATTCTAATTTTTTTAAATCTCAAAACCTATAATGTAATTTCTATTATTATAAAGACAAATCTCACTCCTAGCAAAGCAAAGAAAAAAACACTGTCAAAATGTACATTTTTTTATATACAACATATAAAAAAAGAGTCTGATCTAATTTGATGTGTATATAATTTAAATATTCAAAATTCATATTCACTTTTGTCAGCGTCTAAGCTCCAACTCTATAATATCAGGGAAGTTTAAAAATCCAATTTAGCTTGCAATCTACATTCCTCAGTCATCACAAACTCACTTCACTTCAAACTGTGTCAGGTATCTCAAACAGACTTGCTCGTCTGATTTCTGACACTGTACGATAAAATGATCTGCAAACACGGACAAAAGTACAATGCACTGCATTACAAGCATAACTTTGTTACAAGTGATATCAGATCATTTAATTAAAACTGTCTAATTAAATTGTACATCTATTATCAAACTTCGATTAATCCACCATATCTATGGAGTTGTGAGGATGAATGAGTTAAACAGTGGATAATGTCTCATTTTACAATAATAAACCTTAAGCTGGGTGAGGTAATGTAATCAATAATCAGTATTCGGTATTGGATTTCGCCACATACATTCATATAGACAAAAATTTTAATTTGTCATGAGAGTAAAAAAACAAATATTGAAAGAACAAATGTTTGAACAGACGACCGTTCGATTGAACCTATGCCTTTCTTCAGATAATGATATTTATATAATTATATATAATTATATTTCTCTTGTTCTTATATACCACAAATTGCCATATTTACCATTTAGAACACTACACAGTGTGGCACTCTTCACGCAGAGATGTGTTGGGAATCATGTAGAAATGTGCACGGAATCAAGATAGTACATAGCAAAGTACACAAGTTTTTGTGACGTCACATGAAAACAAGCCATTACCGGAAAATCAGGGAAAAATACAAAAACATTTTCAAAATCCCACTAACAAGTTTTACAGTCTCTGAGAAAATGTATTATTATTAACTTACTTATTAGCTATGTAACATATATTTTACCAATTTATTCCTTCATCTTCAGTAACAGCTTTATCTTGGTCAGTGTCGTGGTGGATCTGGAGCCTACCCCGAGAACAGAGTGTGTGAGGTGGGAATACACCCTGGAAAGGATGCCAGTCCATTGCAGGGTACCACGCCCAAGGGGCAGTTTAGTGTAGGCAATTCATCTAGCAGCATGTTTTGGGACAGTGGTTGGAAACTGGAAAACATGGAGGAAAACCATACGGACAAGGGGAGAACCTGAGCTCACGATCAAGGCAGGGACCCTGGAGCTGTGAGCCAGCAACACTACCCAGTGTACCACTGTGCCGTCTATATACACAGGGTCGCGGGGTAACCTGGAGCCTATTCCAGGGGCAGGGGGCACCGTGGACGGGGTGCCAACCCATCGCAGGGCACAATCTCACACACATTCACACACCCATCCACGCACACTATGGACAATCTGGAGATGCCATTCAGCCTACAACGCATGTCTTTGGACTGGAGGAGGAAACCAGAGTACCCTGAGGAAACCCCCAAAGCACAGGGAGAACATGCAAACAGCGCACACACAGGGCAGAGGCAGGGCCTTTGTCACATATAACAGCTTATTTTACAATTTATTGCACAATCTTTAGAATCTTGGATTTTTAAACCAACCTGCTGCTGACAGCCATTTTTTCAGTGATAAACCTAACGGAGGTTCGCTTTGCATCACGTGATTACGGTCAACCTATAGCCAGCAAGACTACACTGTTGGAATATAATGATTCAGGTTTGATGTACTGTAAAATGCAGAGTGTCTTACAAATAATAGGAACTAAACTCTAGTTGCACACTAAATGCTAGTATTTGGTCCATATTCTCTGTCTGTTTTGAGGGAGGATCTTGTGTCCTACAGTGATTAACATGTTGCTAATATGTGTTTGTGCTTATAACCTCACTGTTTTTATGAATGGCTTTTGTTCGTCTCTGTTGATCTTTTGTGGCTTCCAGAGACAGGATGTGCACGTTGAGGTTAGGTTGGTTTGAAAACTAGAGCCAAGACTAGACTCAAGTTGAGTTTGATTCTTCATTAGGCATTAAGCAGGTGAAGAATGGGCATTAAAGCACATGGCCATTAAAGCTTGTAGCTTTTGCTTGGTATTTTTTGTGATGTCCGGCCTTTAAATGATTTCAGTCACAGAATTGAAAACATATACGAGTTAAACTCCACATAATAATGCCCTGCTCTATTATGAAGGAGTTAGCTGCAGATAATAAGCTTCTCTTGTTGTTAATGGGATACACCTCAGAGTCTGCAACACACGGTTTTTCAGACTGGCTCTGTGCCCAGCAGACTGAGACGGGGGAGAGAGAGCGATGATGTCATTCATTGCTACCTCAAAACAAGAAGTCACACAACAAACAGGACCATGCAGGGCTGAGCAAGAAGGCCGAAAGCTGCAGAAATCTGTCTTACTCTGACACAAACACCGTAAGTGAATATGTCTGTGAAGGCTCTGAATTGCTAATAGTAGTATATCACGGCGAATGGGCTTGCGTTATAATCTTGAAAACATTACAGCATTCATTCAAAGGGCTTTGTCAGGCTGAGTGGTAATACCACAAGCACAGGAATAACTCAGTGGTTATGATCCTGTGTGTAAAATCCCAGGAATGCTGGAGGGTGACCCAAACACAAAGACTTTCAGTGTATTCTGTATTCTGGACCACTTGTTTGTCACTTTGGATAAAATAACTAAATGCAAACCACAAAACTGATGTCAGATCAGCGATGCAGGCTACATCCACGTCTGGTTCTGCACAGGAAACCTGACGCAGTGTTTTCCAAACCAAATCATGGTTTTACATATGCAGCGAGTCAGAGAACACTTACAACTTGCAAATTAATTTTGAGTATATGATCAGCTGCAAGGTGATGGGACTGAAGATCTGTCTTTTTTTTTCACACCCAAAAGCCTTTGGAGGAGAACGAAACAGACACTGTCCAATAAAAGGACAGATAACAGAAATGCAAGTATTTTTTTTT